GCTACATGCTGTTGTACTTCTGATGATCATTAACCAAACGTGGTAATGTTTTATTTTACAGGCCGCGACTTGGAGCGTGCGTAGCCCACATTTAGAGCATCATTCTGTGTAATAACGGCGTACCTGTACTTTATGTACCGCCGCCTATATGTAAGTCCAGGGGACTAACACGCAACATTTGAGAAATAAGGAGGAAACAACCTGGACACTTGAAATGTAATTATACTCTAAGTATGAAGTATCTATTCTAAAATTACATTGTATGTATATGATAGGTTCTATGCAAGAAATATTCATATGGAAGAAACATCCTGAATGGACTGTATGTAGTTTCTAAGGGGGCACCTATTCAGATATTATGGTGTATGTATAGCTTTTTACATGTGCCAGTCAGCAAGCTTTCATTTGGAAGTTCCTTCCAAATGAAAGCTTGTAAGTAGTAAGCTGTAAGTAGTTACTAAGTAAAAGGTGTGTATTCTAATATGATGTTGTATGTAGATGATACATGCCCTTTCAGTTGGGGGCAACCTTTACATGGTAGATATCTAGCCTAACTACACGGTACCTGTTCTATAATTACAGGCTACAAGAGGAACAAAATGTACACAGTTTCTGAAGTGATGAAGTAATGTCTGCCATGATTTTAAGTTTACCATATAGATTACCAGATAAAAGTGTTGAGCACGTTTGTTCTCACCAGTAAACAGTGGATGATTTGTTCCTGACTGTTTTATGATGCCAGCAGCAGTGGAATATTCACCTTTTCAGATGTGAACAGATGTACCCTCCATTCCAAGGATAGGAGATACAGTCCAAGTGTAACATGATAACACAACACTTGCATCTCTGAGTATTTACACCAAGATAGATATTGATTTTTGGACAGCAAAAGTGCAGTTTAAGTGTATTTATTTTGGTTTGCCATGTTTCCAAGCCAGCAAAAAGGGTTGCAACGTTTTCCTCTCTAAATACTGTGTAAGTATAATTTATTGTTACGTGTCGTTACAGTGTAAGTACAAGATAAAATAGCGTGTAAAATAAAGTGGTACAAAATGGAGGAAAAAGGCGATGTGAAGCCGTTAACTACAACACAAGTAATTGGTGGTGTTCCCCTTTAAAAGTCACACAGGCTTATAGGCTTTACAGTAGGTTAGAGCTGCAACTTGACCTTTTCTACTGGTCTGCTCCAGGGTTGTAAAAACCTAAAAGGACACGGTGCTGACCAAAACCCAGAGCAAAGTCATCTTGTTGGGAGAGAACAAGGTTTTCCCACGACCATAGCCATATGTTTCTATTCCATTGCAGACGAGCATCATCCAGACCAGTCTAGCAGAGACCATTAAAACCAGCAGATACTGTAGCTGGGAGTCCTCGTCAGGAGCGGAGGACATTGTGTGTGTGTGTGTGTGTGTGAGAGAGAGAGAGAGAGAGAGACTTGTGTCTATGTGTTTCTAAAATTAACCATTCAACACTGAAGTGAAACTCTACATTCTGGCACAAGTACTGAACCAAAACACAGCATCATCTGTTCATTTGACTAAATGTTTATTCCAGTTCTAATCTTAATCCAGCTAAGATTCTGTAGCTGGGTTCACTTGTGTACATGAACATTACAAAGCTGAGTTAAGGCTGCAAGTAACTATTACTTTCATTACTAATTAGTCTGTTAAATATTGGAGGGGCAATAATACTGGCCAGGTGGAACCCAATAGTAGTTGGCATTTCTGCTTTATAAAACAATGTACATCTAAATTTTTAGTCTGCCCCTTCACAGTGCATGACTTCACAGTTCAACTACGGGTCTGTGCATGAACGTTTGTCAGTCCACAAGCCAACAACACTAAACAGAGCACGTGGCACCAAGATGCCTTGCTCACCTCTACTTCCCCATCAACTCTCTTCATATACACAATATAATAATGTGGAAGTCGCTCCATTTAATTTCCAAAGAAAGTATATTTACAAGGTACTTAACACCCATTTTAGACCAGCATCAGAGAAGGACTTACTTGAATTGCTTCCTGAGGTCAGACAGAGGTCAACATCAGTAATGAGAGGACAGGCTGTATGGCATGGGAACGGATTATATCAACATCCTGGGTTTACACGTGCTGTGTGTGTGGCCCCATTCCCACACACACACACACACACACCTTGCCTTCAGGTGTAATCACGGCAGCACCTTTCCAAGCCAGTCACAAGTTAAGAAAATAGAGATTTGTTTAATTAATTTAACTGATAAGGTACCGTAATATCAGTCTGTGCACTAATTTATTCCTTAACCATGAGTCTCAAGTACAACGATCAGAGTTCTGGCCATGTGTCCTTATGAACCAAAGACTTATTGGACAAATACAAACAGAACACAGCAGATTAATGCTTTGCATTACATTTTCATAAAAGTCCTATTATGAAAATAAAGTGCCTCACCTTGCCTTGTTGTGCCATGTTCAGCTCTGACCACTAGACACACCTCGTCTATAAGTTAGTGTGTACGCATCAAAACTAGCACAAGAAAATAACTAAACATACATTAACTCAAAAACTATCCTTTTACTTTCAACTGCTTGTCAGTAAGGGATACACAGTGATACCCAGTCATCCTTATTTACTGTTAGGTAGGTTTATACATCAGATAGAAAAACTGACTCTGTAATATAGTATTTATCACAGCACCAAGTCAAAGTAAATTAAAGGCACAGCAGGGACAGGAAAATAAAGCGAGCTCTGTACAGAGTGAACGAATGTGTTGTAAAAAAACGTGCTGAAGAACCATAAGAGCGGATACAGCTGCCCTTTACAGCCGACAAACCACCCGAAGCCTAGCATGTCATCACAGCAGCTTTCACAAAAGCATGTTTATCAAACACCCTCCCCAGTGAAGACATGCTTAACACAGTTATCCGAGTATGACTATGCAAATGAGCACAAAAAACAACAACAATGCTGTCATCCCAACAAGGAATAAACTGAAAAACCTGCTGTTGAGGAAATGCAGAGTAAACAGTAGTTTTGGGCATTTAGTCAAAGCAGTGTGGCCTGTTTGGTTTTACTCCCAAACGTCAGGAGGTTAAAGTGGGACGTTCTCATTTTGTTTTCTCCCTGCAGACAGGCTTTACAGGAAATCGCACTCTCACACACTTTGTAACTCTCCATTTTCCTCCCTCTTCCCTTCTGCCCACTAACCCTCCTTTCTCTCTCCACCTATCTGCTCATTTCTTCTCAAGCTTTAGCGGGGCCCCCCCCTTCCTCCACATGCACGCCTGAGCAGGAAGGTAGTAATCTGAGCCAAATGTGGCTTAATCCTCTCACTTCCCCCTCTACTAACAAGACAGTTCAGATATTTAGCATACTTAGTGATTCAACAGTGCTGCAAAGATGGAACCTAAGAAACTATAAGAAATTAATATCTTCAGCAAGTGGCAGAAGTAACATTAAATCCATGGCTGTATGAAAATAAAGCACAGTGGACAGAGTGAGACAGAGCCAGGCAACACATGACAGAAAAAGCGGAAATTGGAGGCTTTCTATTTTTACGTAGAATGTTTTATGACCTCCAGATTTGGAATGCATCACCTCCCAGCCTCCTACGCCTAGATAATACTCCACCAGAGAAAGCAACGCAGGAGCACAGCTGTCTCCAGATAGCAGCTCTACACATACACACACACAGACCTACATTCCAGTGTAACAACAAGCTTTTCTAATGGGACACAGAGAGGGAAGCACCCAGCACAAATAATAGGAAAGAAAAACATTTTTTCAGCCGCGTTCCGATTCCGATACAAGAGCTCTTTCATTGAAATAAAACAATCAACACTAATAAACAGGGCAGCATGACTAAACGTTTTATGAGTGTGATTCAGATTCCTGTGTGATCTCAGCCACAGTCACAGGACATTTCATGATGTTTCACTTTGGTAAAACCCAGTACGTACAGTGCAAGTTAATACAAAACCATATGATGCTCCGTTTGAAGCTGGCATCACCCCTTTTTACCACATCTGAGAACTTAATGAAAAGTAAAGAACACATTTCTGCAAGTCTGCAGTAGGTCAAAACATCAGCGGCTACCAAACTTGCTGCGTCAATAAAATCTTAGGCACAGCTCATTAAACCAAGTGAATGAAAAACAAAACTCCACAAAACTGCGACCGCCCGTCTCAGGCAGTAAGAAGCTGCAGTCTTTTTATAGTGAGATATGTACCAATGTCCAAGTACAGTGGCTGAATCAAGTTCAAGTGAGCTGGGCTATTCATTTATTGGCCTGTACAAGTTCTTTTTTAACTGCTGTCCTGGGAGCAGCATCACCCTGCATGACCTACATCTGCAGATAGGCTACACTGACGAGCACACAAGGACTCGTGGCCTATGTGGCTGGTACTGTTGCTTCACAGCTGCCTCGTAGTATTAGATGGAATAAAACAAGCCAAAATCCTGAATAAATACAAATTAAGATGTTTACATTTGTTTAGAATGGAGTTAAAGATCGGTTTAAAATTCAATTCAACACCAATTTTACAGTGAGTAGATGATTAGACTAAGGTTTTTAAATGACAAAATCCATCTGAATTAAGGTAGAAATGTTTAAATGCAAGGCAGCATTCAGTGTGTCTGAGCGTACAAGGTCTCATCTCAACATGACGAGTGTGCTGCAAGATAAAGGTTAAAATGAAAACTACGCAGCCAAGAGAAACGGAGCGGCAACATGATGAAGCAATGATAAGACAACTTCATCACAGCGCAGCTGCTGCTAAACTGTTGCAAGTCACTGGCTTTGGAAACATAGTTCATGTTGACACTGGTTACAACCAAATCATCCAAAGCAAAACCAGTCAACCAGTCGAGTGGCAAAACAAATAGGACTATGTGAACAAACAGGATAAAGTGCCTTATTTGAATAGTTCACCTCAACAGATATAAAATTACCCTGGATGGTCTGTTTTGCTGTATTCACTAGAGTTAATACAGAAAACATGCAGAAGTGAGAAGGTACTCACTCTCTGATGGTCGGGCTGCAGGCACTTCTGTGACAGGTGACTGCCCCCTCTCCACCCGGGGCTCTGCCAGGGAAGGCAGGGGAGCGCTAGGTGCAGGTGGTGGGTGGTTGTTCTCTATCACGCCGCCTGGCACCAAACCATCCGGCTGTCTGAAGAGAGGCATCTCTGGCCTCCTGGAGACCCCCTCGGCCGGGCTGAGGATGGGGGAGGGGGGCTCTGCTCTTCTTTGAAGGGGCTCAGGGATCCTTGAGACTGGGGCATCCATCCTCCTGGGAGGGACAGGGGGCTCATGGGGCCTTGTCATGCTGAGCTCCCCCCGCCTGTTTGTGGAAATGGAGTTGGAGGAGCTGTCAAGGGGGGTACTCCGACTGCTCAGGCTGACCTCAGGCCGTTTAAGGCCGAAACGAGCGATGCCAGCACTGGGTGAGTTGTCAATCTGCTTAGAGGAGACCTCGATGGAGATTTCTGTGCGACGGGATGAGGCTAGGTCAGGGTTACGACCCCCTGATAACTCAATGCGCCTCATGCTGGTGTTTGGAGAACGTGGATTGGAGGACTCGGAGGGGGAAGATCTGGAAGAGGAGTAATCAGAACCGCGGGAGCTCAGGTCGTAGCTCCGCTGGCTGGATGCGGAGGAGGCAGATGAGCGAAGGGGGTGGGTGGTACGACGAGACAGGGGCGAGGGGTTTGTGGATGTATCCGTCTCCTCCACCTCAAATGACCGTTTCAGTGCTGGAAAACACAGAACATTTGTGGTTAGATAAGAAACAGAAGAGTCCCTTAGCCAATACAGATGACAGCCTGCTCCAGCATATAGGCCTGCTGACTTAATTCATCAATAAACATTTTTATTTTATCAAGCAAAACAAAAAGAAAACACATGATCAACAAACCAGAGAACATGAGGGCCTGAAGCAGCAACAACTGTAGAGTTCAGTTTATTATTAGGAAAAAGTTACTGACACTTCCTAGATTTCATTTATTTCATACAGGCTGTGGCCAGACGTCTTTGGTTCTTCAGAGGGTTGGTGATTTTTTTTTTTAATCAGAGGAGGACATTTACCCCTGCTTGATTTAACAATGTAAAGAGGAGGAAAACTCATTTGTTTACTTTTTGCTTGTTATACAGGAGAAAGTGCAGCTGAAGATGACAAGCAGTCAGCAAGTCGCACTTCGCATAGCTGTAACTTTAAGTAACAAACAATAAAACAAATATAACAAGCTCGTCTTACCGGATTTGACGCGCTTCGCATACGTCGACAGCATGGCGTTGGTCATTTCTAATCAGAAACGTGATAAAGTGTAATAAAACTGCAGCGGACGAACACACATCTACCACTAGAGGACAAGGATAACTCTGGCTAAGTTATTATAAAATTACACCGACATCTTCTTTTTCGATCCACTGCATTATCAGGATATCCCGCACACCTGTCGAACTGACCACCTGACCACACCTTGCCAACGCGCTGATCACGTGACCACCCCGTCATCATAAAGACGGCAAAATACGCTGTAGGTTTCTGGTCAAGTAAATCAAAAGATAATGGCCCGTGACAGTGATAGTTTAGTGTACTGGTGTTTTTGACGCAAATATACTACAAATTTGTGTTTTTAGGATCTTTATTTTACTTTATATGTACTATTTAGGGTAAAATAGTTAGTGATGGTCGATGAGGCTTTGTTGAAGCTTCGACACAGTGTTCACACAAATGGTTCATTACTCGAGGCCTCAATGACACAGTGCTCGAGTAGGACATCTAGTGGTCAGGAAAATGAAGTGCAATCAAGACATGTCTGGTTCATGGATTGGGATTTGATTCGCCATGCACATTCCTGTTCGACTACACTACATGGTTGTATGGTTTCAAGCTGACACAATAAAATATAAAATAAACATGGACTCATGTTGAAGGTCATGTGTCTTATTTGGCACGTCTGAGTGTAACCCTATATGCTCCTCACTTATATTTTGTGTTATGAAACATTTAAATGGTGCTGCTACATTAATGAGATGTGCTCTACAGATTCAGACAGATGTCATTCGCACATGGGACTGGTGCAAATACAGATTATAGTATGGACCTTGGCAAGGTGTGTTTTGGGGTTCATTGGTAAAGAGGTTCATGGGTATGTGGGTAAAGAGGGTGTGCTTGGGTAACTGTTTATAAGTTTTTATTGAGAAATAAATCCACAGTGTTCGGACACAAGCGGTTTCTCCTTTTACAGACCATTTCCCCAGCCTTGGAAAAAAAAAAAAACATTCACATGGCACAGATGAGGCTGGGGTACATAGGTTCGAAACAATTGCTTTATGAGCTACCGCGTATGTGTCAGAGCCTCGGGTGTCATAGGGCCATCACTAACAACAACTACACACAACGAGCCGTTTGAACAGACTCACAAAGATGTGTGTAAAAACTGTTTGTCAGGAAAAACTCATGAAGCATTTGTACAAATTCAGTGAAAGTCAGGAAATAGCTGATCTGAGAGAAGCTCACTGACATTTAATGACCTTAAAGCTCCACTAGCACAAATACTGAGCTGTGTTACAGCCACATATGAGTCAATGCACAAAGACACAGAGTCAAAGGAGGACAGATGATCCATGATGACTGGTGACAGACACTGGTGAAACAGTTCCTGGTCCAGATTGTTGTGGGAAAAAGTTGTGCCCTAATGTAGTTTAGTTCACAGTAAATGTCATGTTTGATTTGATGCTGTTTTCAAGAGAACTACGCTTAAAAAGAAAGATTAAATTTAAGCTATATATTTAAGGCTACCTACTAATGTCTTTCATATAAAGTACTGAAAAAATCCCACCACACATTTGATCCATTCCCACACTGAGCAGCCCTCTTCCTCCATATAAACACAATACTCCACCAGCAGATTTGTGTTTTAGTTGTCATTCCTGTTGGATAAAAGCTTTTACTCAGGCCACAGTTAGCTTCATGTCAGATGTGAGGGTGACACCTGGTTCACCTCTGCTGGGCCCAGAGACCAGTGAGGCCACAAGCCCTGGAGCAACACGACCCTGGTCCAGATAAACACCCAGGCTTCTGGCCTGCTCCAAGGCAGACAAGCCAAGCATCAGCATGGGAGAAGACCCTCCTCCTGGAACAGACCGTTTTCACATCCTTGCTGTGTTTCAGCAGGTTTTTGACTCTGTTATCGGAGGCTGTGCTGAGAAGCAGCTAACTGCTAATACAGTGTGAAATAACTGTATCAGGCTTAAACGTTCCAATATTCCTGTGTAAAACTATGAGTCTACAAATAGAAATTATAGGGTCAGCCTTCATTAGCCTCCTTTGGTGTTAAGTTCTTTCTAACCATCAGTGTGATTCTAACATTTATTTACTGACTGCATTAGTTTTATCAACTGACTGTATGTGGTACATTCACATAAACCCTGTACGTAGCCTGAGTGAGCAGCTATTTGGCAACACTTACACTGGCTTTGTTCAAAGGTAAGAAAATCTGCCTGCTAGCACCTCTAAAGCTCACCGACCTTGAATACCACAAAAACACATTCCTGTGTGTTTACTGTATTTGGCAGATCTTCATTACACTACTGAGAATTACAAGAAATATTAGAAAGAAAGAAAGAGATCATGACAAGAAACCTTGGCTCAGATTCTTTGATTGTATATGCATGTAGTGTGCATCTCCACCATCACAGTAATTTCATCTATCTCTGACAATAAGCTCTTTGTGTTCCTCACATTGAATAATGTAATTTAATTTGGAAAAAAAAACTGGCCTTGAAAATATTCCTGGAAGACAGTGTGCTCTGTTCTTCTTTAAGCATAAGAAATAGGCACTGGAATGATACACTAGTCACAAGGAATTTATATGTAAAATTCATTGGATGCAGGGGTAACGGTTTGAAATATCTGCAAATTTGTCATCATAAGGACAAGAAATAATAAACCTTTAATGAACCTCGCTGTTCATTGGATGTGTGACTCTCAGCTTTTAATGGAAAGTCAAATTAAGCAGCAAAGCATTTTTCAAAGTGCCCCAAACCACTTAAAACTGTGCTTGACTGTGATTTTGGGATAATGGCCTGTTGAAACTGTGCTAACTGTGTGGCGTGTGGGTGCGCTGTGGTAACAGAAGAGCCCAGTGCAGTGACGTCCTTAGAGACACATTGGAGACAGGGGCCCGGTCAGCTGTGTTTCTGTCTTTCTATCTATGTGTGTGTGTTTAAACACAGCTGTAGAATAAAGTAAACACAGCTTGATCTACCCTGGTTGGAGCCAAACTACAATATCTGCCTCTATTAATGTCACCGCATCATGGGATCAGTGTGTCTGTGTATGAACGCAGTTAGATGAAGCTCTGTCTGTGCATGTCTCTATGTGCCTGCATGTTTATATATGACTGCATACTGTTATATGTATATCTGTATATTTGCATCTCAGTGTGTGTGTGTGTGTGTGTGCGCATGTTTTTACTTGAGTGTGCAATTTCAAGGACAAAACCTTTTGATGTCTCCAAACTCCTGCAAACGAGGCGATAGTGGTGATCACAGACCTTCTAACCAAGCTAAGATAGTAATGAACCAAACGTCAGTCTCAGCTCTCTTCCTTAGCTCTGCCTTTCTCTCTTTACCTCTCATTCGCCTGGAATTAAATCAAAAGACCTTTTTAACCATATTAACTGTGGACTCCATTCTAAACAACACATTTTAAGTGAATCACCACTTAAGGAAGGCACTGAAAGACACTGCAAGAAATTGCATAATGTTTTTAACACTTTGTCGGACATGGGCCGAGTCCATATAGCGCACTGAAACGTTAAACTGGTAGAAGATCACATAATGTTGCTATTCTGTTCTCCAGTGTAGCATGTACCGGGTGAGCAGCACATTTTATCTGTGCCCTTCCTGAGCCAACATGGGACAATTCAGAAATGCCAGTTAATCTAAACTGCATGTCTTTATAATGTGAGAGGAAGCTGGAGAAACCCTACGCAGGCACAGGGGGAACATGCAAACATCACGACCAGAGGCCCTGGCTGGGATTTAAAATTGGAACCTCCCTACTGTGAGGCAGCAGTGCTAACCCACTGCCCCACGAAGCTGAAGCAACTTGTTTTTTTTTGCTGCACTGTAAATAAGTACACAGGTTGCCCTTCTATTCAGTTTGCTGTGGTATTTAACCATCCTTTCTGCTACCACGGCTGCCAAGAGTTCAACCAGGACTGAAATCAGAATTTGAAAATATTCAACATGTTGAGAGCGCACAGCTGAGGTCACTCACACTTAGTCTCTGTCTGAAAGACACAGCAACCTAAAAAGGCTCGGTGTGTCAAGATGTGCTCTGGACCAGCTAGCATGAGCATTTGGCCCTTAAGTTGGCTCAAAGCTTAACCCTTTCTCTGTTACACTTGTCAAAGACACCTTCCAGCTTCTGCAGAAAAAAAAACATTTACATAACAAAACCTTTCATCACAGGCTATTTTTTAGCCATATTATGGTGTCTGTTGATAACTCTGGGGCTGTGCAGGGTCTTGGCATCAGTGCACGATTCCAACAGGAGAAAAACAGCAAAGAGTGCCTTTAAAGCCTAACAAAGCCCTGCTGTGTTCCAGTGACCCATGGAACTTCCCAGTAGCACCAACCTTGTTGGCGTCATTAGCAGGAAACCTGCCCTAGCTGGTGAGTATAGATTGGCCTGATAATGCTGAGCACAGCTGTCAAATGCGCAAGCTCCGTCTGTGAGGCTGGGTTCCTCCACTGCCTGGTCAAATATTTTCACCCACCACAGAAATCTGCTCCTGTGGAATTTCCTCTGATTGGGCTAGTGAATGCCCTTACCACGTAGCTTAGACATACAGAGAGAAAGACAGAGGGAAAAAGATCAAGTAAAGAAAGACAGCCGTTATCGTTTGAAATGGGAATCAACTGGTTCATATTTGGCCAATAGTGATATCTTTATTCTGAGAACGACCATGTGCAAGAGAAAAGAGCGAACAGACCACTTTTACCAAATGACGCTGTAGGAAAAGTGTGCAAGTTTATGTGTTTGTTCTGCTCGGGGGAGGTCCAGTGGTCAATGATCTCTGTGATTGTGAGGCTAAGGTCACAGCTGAGATCATTGGCCTCATGGGCAAGAAAATCCTGTCCTCTGTCTCTCTCAGCTTCTCGCTGGTGTCATCAGTTAAAGGAAGAATGCAATGAATCACACTTGGAGTCCAACTACTAACACGGTAAAATGCTCTTTCATTCATACAGTTACTGTACAGATTATGGATAGCGTTACATCAAAATGATCCCTATTTTCTGTGGTGTTTTTTAAGAGCTCCACTCATTTAACATGTTTATGATGTGGCTATATTTGTAATCAGTGTAATCAGATGACAAACATGTGAGCAGTGAGGCCTGTTGGTGTATTAGTACACATACTGTTACTCCATAATGTGATTGCAGTGAAAGTGGATTTACTGATTTAAAAGACACCCTCCAAAAAAAGTTCATGACAAAGCTACTCAGTTACAATAAAGTGAGGACTTATAACTTTCAAACACTGATTCTTATTGGCTTGTTGGCTGGGTATAGGACTCACAGCCCTGCTGCATCTGTGCCGTGCTGTATTCACTGAACCACACAAGCTCATACATCATAGTGCTTGGTGGTGATACAAAGGTATTACCACACTCTCAGCCCAACCAGAGCCAACACACACCGCTGACAATCACAACTGTCGGCCATTATTCCGGTTTTACACAAGAGCAATGTCTACAAGCAGGATGTTGAGCCACAGTTTAAGGCACACACTTCTCTCTTTTCTGAGCGCCCCTTATCTTTCTGCTCTGTTGCCCTGTGTAAGCCTAGAGACAAGCAGAGAGGGAGAAGGAGGCAGAGAGATTCACCATACATACCACAAGCAAACTGGTGTTGACGGAGGAGCAGCTCCGGACAAGTGTGGATGCCTTCCTAATGGTTATGTGTTTGTGAGTGACAGGAGACAGACAGTGAGATAGACAGGCCATCAACCTCCACCCACCCTCCTCGCACCCTCTAGCACTTTAGGCCAAGGTGAGAGTAGCTGAGGATGGATGAGCTGCTGAGAGAGGAAAAGGGGAAGCACAGCCGGAGGATGAGGAATGGGAGTGGGAGAAGAGGGATGACAAAGGGAATCTGCAGGCCAGGGGCAGAGAGAGTAAAAAAAAAAGAAGAACGAGTAGAGGGGGGAGGTGGACCAGGTGTTCCCCTCACAGCTGTATGGTCAGATCGTGACTCCCAAGTGCTCAGCATACATTATACAAACACACATACAGTACAAGGTTTCTCCATGATGCAGGTGGCTCTAATTGGAGGATTCATCTGTTGCACACTCTCTCCTGAAAGTGTTCTTTGACACATGCTGCAACATCACAGATGCAGATACCCACATGACAACCATATCAAACATGCTCTCGTGCATCCCAACAAAAGTTAAAGAGCTACACCGTAGCTCACCACAGATGTCAACAACCTCGTCACACTCTCCATTTTCCCTGATCTACTCGGGTTCAATTAGACATGTGGAAACTTTCTATAGTGTCCTCATGGCTGGGTTAGAAGGTGCTGCACACCACAGAGTGACAAAAACAAGAAAAGCAGTGGAGCAGCAAAGTGTAAGAAAAAAAAGAAACTAACCTTCAAAGTCTGATATGATCCCTTCCAAGTGAGCGTTGACAGTGGAGTCAGACATTTTGGCCACAAGTGTGTATGTGCGTGTGTGTTTAATGTCAGAGAAAAGGGAGCAAGGTTCCCTTTCCCCAGCAAGGAAAAGTCTTCCTGAGGCGCAGTCCTGCTTTTAAACAAATCCCAAATTAGGAGTCCGTGCAAGACAAAGAGGGGAAGGAAAAAAACACAAGAGTTGAGCAGCTCACTGATCCAAACCCTCTCTCTATCGCTCCTCTCTTTCTTAAAGCAGCAACTTATTTTTCTCTTCTCCTCCTTCTGAACTTCCAGAACTTGGAATGAGCGAGCAATGACAACCCCCCACCCTCCTTCTCTCCCTGTAGCCTGCTTGAACCCCCCCGCCCCACCCTTTCTCCTTCCCTCCATACTTCCCTCCCTTTCTCCAGCTGTCCACTCAGACTGGCTCTTTTCTGTAAAAGCTCTCATTTTTGCCTGGGTTGGTCAGATTACGTCTATGCTAACATTCAAAACACACTTCCTATAGACTCAATGACATGACTAACACATTCTGTGCAACTGATGAAACACTGAGATTTTTTAAAAGCCCTACTGTGTCACAGATGCAACATCAGCATCATATAAACATAAATAAGTGCAGTCACATAGAAAAAAGATAATTCTTCATTCAGTCTTAGGGTAGATGGAATGAAAAGCTAAAGTAGGTAGAAAAATCAATCTCGAGCGCAGACAGAGACATATTATGGACTAATATGGTCAGGGCAGGCTCACAGAGGTGGTTAGCGGTTTTGTCCATCGCTCTGGAGGCGCACATCAATAAATAAGTAGCCTAATGGGTTAACAGCCATGTGAATCGGCCTCTGTGTGTAGGAGTGGCAGGGGGACGGTGGACAGGGGCGTTGGTCAGTGTGGGTGTGTAGCAGTCAGGGTGTTCTATATCTGCATGTATAGTTGTCCGGTGAAAGCGTGTCAGTATTTTATAATCAAGCACACTCACAACTTGTCCATGGTCTTAGTAAACACAAAGGGAGTGGGACTGGGGAAGGGGGGGGGGGGGGGGGGGGCGGG